TGATACATTTTTCATTACTTTAATGTATAAAGATCCTATATGAAATTATGAGTTTTGGAGCTATTTTTCGCTGCCATGAGTGTTTTGACACTTCTCTGATTTACATGCATGCTATCTCACTTTCATGACTCAGTGAAACACTGTATTATGGAAGGCCACTCTAAAACACTCCGTGATTAATGTAAACAGAAGAACATAAATTGGCTTTTGAAATGCAATGCAGATTAAGGCAGATTATTTAATGTTCTTACAGATTTTAATAATTTTATATATCCATCCATCCATCCGTCCATCCATCCATCTGTTGCTTATCCAGGGCTTTGTCGCAGTGGCAGCAGTCTAAGCAGGGATGCCTAGACCTCCCTTTTGCCAGCCACTTCTTCCAGCTCCTCAGGGAGAATATCAAAGTATTCCCAGGCCAGCCCAGAGATATAATCTCTCCTGCGTGTCCTGAGTCTGCCCCAGGGCCTCCTCCTGCTTGGACGTGCCTGAAACACCTCCCCAGGGAGCCGTCCAGGAGGCATCTTAGATAGGTGCCTGAACCACCTCAACTGGCTCCCTTCAATGTTTTATTTGTTTGTTTGTGTGTTTAACTTTCCCCTGAGTAACTGCATTAGAACACAACACTACAGTTTCCCATATCTTATAGTTTTGCTAATCTTTACCTATTAAAGTCATCTATTACATTGGGCATGAGTGCATGCATGCATGTACGCTCTGTAGTCCGAGTCATTGTGGCAATGCTGGGGTCACAAGCACGTGCACAGTGCTAATAACTGGAAGCAGAAGCATGTTTTTACATACCAGTGTGTGTATTTCAGATAAATACAGAACCACATTTCTTGAACTGTTCTGCTAGTGCAGAACCATGAACACAATCTACACATTCTATAAATGCCAGTCACCGTATTTTATGCACAGATCTCATCTATTTCAGTTTTTATATTTTTGGACAAGATTTTGCACAAAGTTGTTCTTAACTAGATGGATATTTATTTAAGGTTAATAATAGTATTTCATTTTTTTTGCCAAAAGGCTACATACTGTATATGACGCCTGTTCCTTACCAAACTCCTCAGCCCACAAATACCTGCTTTACACATTTCCTGCTAGACCCATAGTATGGATGATCCTAGACACTTTGTCTCCAGAGAGCAGCACACATTGGCATTAAACTTTGATTACATATAACACAGAAAACACCGCCAAGTAGTACCACCACCAAATAGGTAATGTAACTAAAGAAATAACACACTGAAAGGTCAGTGGAGCTTAATGAGACATATTATATAGAGTGTTATATTTAGAATGTGCTCATGTTAAAAAAAACATGGGTTAGAATAAACTTTTCAATGCAGCCACACTAGCTAAGAATCCGCACTAATGAAGGCGGACAGCTGACACTGAAAATTCGTTGTCATCTGACATCTTGTGCAGTCAGCTGGTCCGGCGATGTCTTTGCCACTAGGTCACACCGGTAGTAAATGGATTTTGTTTCTGTGTTGCAGGGGAATGCCCGGTTCCTCTTTATCATATCAAGGGCTGCTCTGTCACAAGGACGAGGCAGCATGACTGATGGTTTACTACTCATGCTGCCTGCCTGGGTTGGAAGATTTTTTTTGCCTGCCGACGCTGCAGTGTGTGGCTCTAAATTCAGTGTTACGGAAGCGTTATTTTTTCCACAGAAAAGCACTTACGCAACACAGTTTAAGCATTTCACAAGAAATGAACGACAATATGTAGACTGTGAACATCCCAACGTACCACTCTCTGGGTTACAGTAATTTCTCAAATTGTAAACCATTTGCAATATAGTCTGACAATGTGCTACATTGTTACAAAGACTAACTGTTCTGTTTTATTCAGTTGCCTTTAATAAACTGCATAATTTCTCTTGTTAAAGTTACAAAAGGTACCATTAGGCTTATAATGCTCTGTTCATGCTGCACAAAAGCGGTTCTTTCACCAGCTACTGTTAATTGGGAACATCTTGATCGCTTACTTGGATAAAACCCTAACCCTAATATTAATACATGAATGATTTTTTTTACAGGCCTGTGTGCCTCACTACTTATCTGAAAAGTTTTTTAAAACACACATATGTATAAAATATTTTTGGCACCGACTATCACCTCACAACTGGTGATTTTTAAAAATGTTTAAATGTCATTGAGCTAAATCACAACCAGCAGTGTACACTTGAGAGTTTTGCTCCACCCGTTTGTCATTTTCTTGTTCTGAGTCCCGAGATTTCCTCTGAGCCAAAACATTTCTTAAATCGTCATTGATTGGTCGGTCCCTTTCAGGCGGGTGTGGGGATACTTACCGGCCACCAGGCCATGTCCCTTCCAGCCAAAAAGTATCCGTTGAGAGTGTTTCTGCTGACTCTGCAAGATGACTAGTGGGACCAAAGAGAATTCATTCACTATCTTTGAATCAAACGCTCACACACATACAGTCAGACCGCTTTCTTCTGTAATGCTTTGCCCTAATGTCTAATACCAATGATTGTAATTACACTCACCCCGGGAGATTTAAATCAATTTCACACAATTAACATAATATCTCTACCAGCACAGAAACTCTCCAAAAGATTATGGGGCACAGACAGAAGGTCAAGAAGGAGATCATCAGCAGATCAGGGTTCAGGAAAAGCTGGAATGATTTTTGTCACCGTTGATCCACTGGTGTTTCCACATATCACTGACACACCAGCTGAGTGCCCTCAAAGGCTCTGAACTTACATCCCAAAACGCAGCCTGGAATTATTGACCATGTTTTCCGTATTGAGCTTCCAGTGAGTACGACTTAAATGAAGCTGCAAAGTTTTCAGAGTCTTATAGCAGTCTTGTTTCCTGAGAAACACAGATTCGTGGACAGTGGGGCGGCCAAAAACCCAACGGTAAGATGGAAGGACGCTTACCCAGATGCCCACAGCCACGTTGAGCAGAAAGTAGGCGCCGATGACGATGACGTCGGAGACGCTGAAGGACTGGGCCAGGTTGAAGAAGCTGCCCGTGGAGTTGGAGTCCATGCCTGCTGCTCCGCTGGGGCTCCGCGGCCAATTTGCTGGAAAGGACGACGGGAGAGGGAGAAGACGAAGAGCGCAGGATGGGGGCGGGGCGACATTGATCATTAAACGCATCAGTTTAATGAAGCACCACTGTGTTTGGCGGTAAGCGCAGCACAACCCACATGTTGAGTTTCAATCAGCACACAGCCCATGGGGGGCTGGTTGGCGGGGTGACTGTGTGGTTCGGGGACACCCTACCAGCCTAAATCTCACCCAAGTCGTCTTCTAGGACGGCTTGCTGTCACACAACCGGTTTATTTGCAAAGTCAGACATTCACGGGCGCTGGGTGAGTCCGGCCGTCTTTAATTATTACCCTTCCCTCTCAAAGGTGAAAACAGACAACACGTCAGGTGACTAACTGTTAAGTCTGTCAAATTTTGATCAGAGTTTAACGCCTGGAGGAAGAGCGAGAACTCCTTCCCGGACCGGCAGAGCGATGGGGGATGTCACCTGGGTGTCTCCGCAACCATGCTGCCGGGGGGG